GAAAGAATCTAAAAATAGTTGATCTGATTATTTAACCTCTTTATTTTTAAATGAACTGAACTTTTACAAATTCGTTCACCCTTTTCTTCAATCCCATTTTATATTATTTCAGAGGCAATCCATACACACCCCACATTTAATCTGGGTTTTCTCAATCATAATTTAGCGTAAATTTACGCAACTAAATTCACACCACTTACATGAGCTTTTCGGTGGTTTCTGAATCTTTTTTTTTTTTTTGTATTCAAATAACTTCCAAATATAAGTCAATAAAATATTTCCGCTTTATTAATACAGCACCTCTCGTGCCAACTGAAACTTGTTTGACATTAAAATTAAGTGACGTTAACAACCGTTACACATCATTGCCAACAACGGCAGCGCTTACAATACGAATACCGGCAGCGACTAACGCGGCAACGGCAAATGCCGCAAATATCAAACGGCAATGGCAACGACAACGTCACAAGTCTCCGAAATTGAAACCATAATTAAAACTTAAAATTATAAATATAACAATAACAGCAACAGCAACAACAAAAACAATGCCAAAACCAATAACAACAATAACGGCAAACACTCAATAAAATCAGAAAGTTCTATTTTCGTCCTTGCCTGTCTGCCGTACGTGAAATGCCGGGAAAGTGTTGCATAAAATTTCACCGTGTAAACGCACGAGGTGTGTCAATTGCACTTTTACTCTTAACTCTTGAATCGCATTCAGGTAAAATCAGCAATTATCACTAATTATTTATTTAGTCGAAATATAAAATATAAATTGATAATTATTGTAGTAATGCTGTTCAGAGAACTTCATTATGACGTCCATGATGCTTGTATGCTTGTTTAGAACCAAAATCCCTGAGACAAACGAGTTTTCTTTCTTCTCGTACACACACAAGATCTTATGAATGAATTGAGCGCAAGCTTCGGGCTTAGCTTGGCTTGGCATGCGAAAGTGAACGTTCTTTTGATCGCCGCCGTCCGTCCAAAGATCGTGCTTATGCCGGCATTTAACCGTTAACACAGAAAAAAACATACCAAAATTGGTTATTTAATTCACAAAAATTCAAATGAAAAAAAAAATGAGAAAAAAATTTCAAAAGTTTTCAAAAAATGCGTAAAATTTTGCTAAAGAGTTTTGAGAGCATACCTAACATTTTTATAAATAAAATTAAGTTAGCATTACCCGCGGTATTCTCAAAATAAAGATTCAATTAAATAAAAACTTTTTTACTTTTATACTTTAAATTAATGTAAATTATAAATATTAGTCGTTTGTTTGTTATTTTATTGCAAAATTATTTATTTTTCCTATGTATAGAACTTGTTACAAAATATTGTAAAAATTTCTAATATATCAGTACCCTGAAAATAGACCAAAGTCGAACCATAGTATCGGCTACAAAAAAATATACAAATTTATAAAGTTATAAATAAAATTTGTTGTGTTGTTGTGTGTTATTCATTTAGCCCCTTCAAAAATAAAATAATTAATAACTCATAAAGAGGTTTTCTAAAAGTAATGAACTACAACAACAAAAATTATTTTTTATATTATTTTAATTAATTGAACTTTTGGCTGACCATAGAGCAGTTTCGAAGATTGTCAAATACCCATCATCAGTGGTCTTAGAAATAATTCTTGTATTTAATTATTCGTACATAATTTTTTGAGATTGCAAGTACCAGGAATCGAACTCGTGCCCTGCCAAATGTGAAGCTCAGAGTCAGCGCTGCTTAACAAACTCACTCATAGCCGTACATGAATTTTATGTTTGCAGATTTTTATGGAGTTTTGTTAATTTGCCGTGAAAATTTTTATTAACTAATTAATTATTTTAGTTAAGTTTTATATTGATATTTCTCTATACTTTATTAGGACATTATATTCCATCAAAGTAATCTCATAAGACAATTTAACAGCAGAAGTAGGGCTCTGAGTCTAAGGTAGTAAGAGTATCAACAAAATCATTAATAATAAAAACACATACCAAAAGTCTTTACAGACATTTGAATGGAAAAAGAGAAAAGCATACACCGTCTGCTCTTTCAACTTCAAAATGATAGAACCTCAAATAATTGGCAGATCTCAACTTCAGTCAGCAGACCAATAGAAGAGTTTACTAAATTTGTTTTAGAATAAAAAACGTTTTTAAAATAAGGAAGGTGCTATTGGTGTCAGTATAATCTATTAAATGGCTTAAGTGTGTAAAAGATAAACTTTAGTTTTATAACATAGAGTAACTCTTCTATCTAGAAAAAAGAAAAAAAAGTATCTAATAAAAAGCAACTTATGTTTAAATTTCAATTTTATTAATAAAAATTAATTATTTTCGTTGCTTAGTCATATTTTTTAAACACAATTGGATTTATTCAGCTCGAAATCAAATATTGGCTTACAATTCCATTATCTTAGTCATCATACATTCAAAAAGTAAAACTAATTTCAAGAAATTCTAAATAAAATATATTAAAGATTAGTCATAGAGCTGAAATTCTTATTCCCTTATCTTATCAGTAAATTATATCTATTTTTTTCAAAATTTTGCAATTAATGTAACACTTTATCTATTACAACTAAAAAGTGAGCTATCATAATTTTTTGGCAAATTATCATTATAAAATGCAATTTATAAACAATAGTCCATTTTTTAAAAGGAAGTTTTTTTTGACTTAAATTCTAACATAACCAAATAGACAAAAGGAATTTATTTATTTAGATCGTTACAGATCTAAAAAGAAGAAATAGATTTAAAGGATGTTCTTTTTCAAAGCACAAAGAGTTTAAGCACTGTCCGCATCAACAGAATGATTTGTGTAACCAAAAAAAAAACAAAAAGTTCAATGATAACATATCCCATGATCTTGGTAGTTAATACCTATAACAAAAAGTAAAATCCGAAAAATCTCTCACCCAATAAAGTCAAAATGGGACATATTTTAATGGCTTGTTGTTTGACATGTTGTTGGGGCACCATCCTATTCTAATTAGATATCTTCCATACCATATTTGCAATTTCTCTCTAGAAAAATTGGTGATCATATGACTGTAACGATCAGAATTCGGAATTTGTACCCGAGCAAAAACAAAAACCAATCACTGAAGAAAAATTGAAGAATTACTTCTTTAGTTGTGATAAAATTATACAATTTTAACACATTTAGTGGTTTTTAAGTGATTCGTATTGTAAAATGGCAAAACTATATTATATAATATCTTAGATGATAGCTCTGTCAGACATATTTCACTGAAAAAATGCTGGCAGATGAGGATCACGACAGGCATAGCCTTTTATATTACGAGATATAAAAGAAGAGCAAAGAAAAATACAATCAACAACAAGAATAATACATATTCTTTATAATACGTAGTTCTAGTTTTTAGAACACTGTGCTCTACAGCGCCTCCAATCAATGATATAATTTTGAATTGATTTAATCCTGAGAATATTTTCAATATCTATCTTAATAGTTCATCATATACACTCCTTGAGAAACCATGTAATTCACTATAGCTATTCACTTTAGCACAATGTTGAGGGATATACATATATACAATGTAAAATAATGGATAATATCGTTTTAAGCATACAACATGTATTAGATTATTACTTTTTTATACTATCATTGTAATTATACAATATTTAAGATAATATAACATGGACAAATAAATCTGCAATAAAATTTTTAAAAAACTTTAATATATAAAAGAAATATAAACTTAATATATTCATACAGTCCACCCTCTCTTTAGCTATAACCAGTTCGTCTCTATAATGAAGTTTTGTTGAAGATAAGGTAATTTTAAAATTTTTTCATATATTTGTTTAAATCCTCTATAGCGAAGAGCTCTTTACAACGGAGTTTTTTGCAGCCATCAACGACTTCATTATAGAGAGGTTTGATTATATATTTGAAGTATAAAAAAGTGATCACATACTACACTTTGTATGCTTATAATAATATTATCGATAATTTTACGTAGCATAATTATAATATAATGTAATATAAAATAACATATATATAGTTTATTATCATATCATCATAATATTTATTGATTTATTGAACTATTTCTGTAGTTATATAAAAATTGTTTTTGAATATATTTTTTTGCAGTTTGTTGTTTTTAAGACTATGACTATGTCTACATATATTTATATTTTTTCTTGTATAATGATTTAATTGCCTTAATGAGTTTCAATGCTATTATATGACAAATTTAAAAACATATTCCCTTCAAAACAAACAAACAGACCTCGTATTCACAAATTTCTAAGTATGAATCATTGCAAGTTTACTACGAGAATAAACAACATTTAACTAGAATATTTCCACACTATTCTAAGCATGCATGTTGAATTGAATATTTGAGCAAAATAAACAAAAAAATATATACGAAAAAAAAAAAATTAAATATAATTAATTCATGAAATATTTAAACGCAACAATAATTAAGATCATCGCCTTGTAATTTGTTTTTAAGCTTAGTCTTACCCAATCTCCTGCATACTTCGCATTAAGACGTCTTCACCGCGCTTGCTCTCTTCTCTCGAAGTCGTTTGCACGAAGATCCTTAGTCGTTCTTGATATATAAGCGCCGCTTTAAAATAACTGCTTTCATTTGTATTCAGATTAAGTTAAGAAACGGATCGGATCGAATTGTACGGATCGATATTAACGTTTAAAAATTATTCGAAAACTTGTCTTCAATTAAGGCGCGAAGTGAGGAAATTTCAATTTAAAAAACATTTATTAAGAAAATTATTTTAAAAAGAAGAGTTTTAACACAAATGTGGCTTTAAAGAAAAGTGTCATAAAAAAAGTTTTAAATAAAAACTAAAAGTTTATTGTATAAACTAACTGTTGTGAAATAACAGAAGATCTTAAAACTATAATCTTTTTTAAAATATTTGAAGAAATTGATAGTGAAAGCAAAAAGTTTAATAAATAAAATAAATTATAATATAAATTATTTTATAATTTAAATTAATATATAAATAAATTATTTTATAAAATTCAAAATGTATTTTAAGGTAAGCAAAATTGAATTTTTTTTAAACAATTTTTTTAAATATTTAATTTTATAAAATATTTAATTCATAATCAATTTTTTCAACATTTGTTATTAGATTTGCGTAAAAGTTAAATTCAAACGGTTTTAGAAATTTAAAAAAATTCAATTCAATTCAACAAATTTAATCATATTTATTTTTAACGGAATTCAATTTATGTTTTATTAATTTATGTAAATAAATAGTAACAAATAATTTAAAATGAATCAATTTATTATGAATGGAATTTAATTAAAACCAGTGAATACAAGATTTTTTGGTTTTATGAAAGAATATTAATTTTGCATATTAAATGTTCATTTTTAAGAATTAATAAATACATAATTGAATCCTGTTTTTCTATTAAAATTATTTTAGTCTCACATATAAGTATTTCAATGGAAAAATAATAAAAAAAATCAAAATAATTGATTTTGATGATTTGAAAATAATCATCAAAATATTTATAACCGTCTGAAAGTATTTTATTTACTTTTTTATAATTTTTAGTGAAATAAATAATTTTAAATGTTTAAATAAATTTTTCTTTATGAACAGTTATTTAACAAATATTCAAATAAATTAAATATTAATTATCTTAACTCAAGGAGGCATCAAAAACTGTTTTTAATAAATAATTTAAATATTTAACAGTTGTAAAAAAAATAATAGTAAAATGTACAAATGGAAAAAAATTCTGACTTAAATCAATGAACAAATTAAATCATATTAAAAAAAAATATTTATTAAATTAATACGATAATTATCTAATTAATTTCTATATTATTGGTTTTTAATTAATGGACCAGTTGATCAACAGTTTTTTTATATAAATTCATATTTAAAATACCGTAAAACAGATTTTGAATATGTATTTATATACCTAATAAAAGAATTTGCATAGAAATAATTAACATTTTTCCGTTTTATGTAACGGAAAGAATTTGAATAGAAATAATTAACATTTTTCCGTTTTTATGAAGAAATATTTAAATTATTATCACTGATATATATTTCAATGCAATTAATTATAAAGAACACAGGAATAATTGGTCAGAAATAGTTTAAAATAATTTAAAATATATATATTTCTACTAAATTTATGTTATATTTTTATCAAGAAACTATAATTTTAAACTAAAATTTATCAAATAATTATTTCTTCATGATTTTTTTTTATCAATGAAATTTTTTTAGCTTTATAAATAAATTATATTTTTATGTAAATATTTAATATTCATAAATAGTATTTTAATTGATCTAATATATTTATATACATTTATGTATTTAAAATATATTTCTAATAATATTTATTTTCATTCGATACAAGTATTTAATTTAGTTTAAGCCATCAATTTTTCTTTCGCAGTTAATTTCATTTGTTTTTATATTTATAAATAACAGTTTGGGAGTTTCTTGGGAGAATAAATTTATTATTCTCATATTTTTTTTTTTGTTTGTCATTTTAATGCTTTTACATTATTTCCGTATTTTTGGTAATTTTTTTTTATATTCTAAATAAGATTTTAACATCTTACATATGTTTTTCAAAACTCAAAGTGCTTGGTTGTTATTATTAAACTAAGTAATACACTGGAAAAAAAAAGTTTTTCCACTAAGATGAGCTCATGCCGATATTTTTATGTTGAAAATAATATATATCACTTTTGGTATAATAAAAATTAAAACTCTCTTTATGTAATAATAATTGTTAGAATTATGTGTATATGATAAACTTTAATATGTATAAAAATTCTATAGTGAAATATAGTACTATTAATCTTCATTAAAAAAAAAGTAATATTAAGTAATATTAATCTAAAATTCTTTTTAATTACAAATAAAATATTTTAATTTCACTTTAAAGTTTAATTTTAATTTTTTCGAATACCTGTTAGAAAATATTTCTCCCCCAATATTCTCCTTAAATTTTTGTAGGAATGAAGTTATTGGAAACCATATATAAAGATTAACTGTTTCTAATGCTGGAATAATTGGTTTTAATAAAGTATTTCTCCCTCTGGCTATTTATATTTCCAATAATATAAAATAAAAATAAAAAGTAAATAATATAATAAATAATATAAATAATAATAATAAAATAATATATAAAATAATATAATAATAATAAAATAATATAATAAAAATGATCGACTTTCTCTTCAAATTAATTTAAATAGGGTGCACGTATCTGACAACTTTGAAGGTTTTTCTTTCAAAAATTAAAAAAAAAGTGAAAATTTCTAATGCAGTCTTTTTTAGATATCTTTATTTATTTCTATTTTCATATCTTATTAACTATAGATTCGCATAATCGTTGCATTTTTTAAATTAATGGAAAGTTATATGTTATATAGAAAGTTTCAGAAATTTCTTCAGACAAAATAAAGAATACTTTTTTCAAAATAAAGAATACTATTATATAAAACTCTTTCTGTCTAATCCCATTTCTAGTACCCTTTTACTGTAGATATGATAAAAATAATCATTCAATTTTTTAAATTAATTAAAATTAAATAGTTGAAAGGTGTTCTTCAAATAAAGTAAAGGCAAAGTTTTTCTAAAGCAGATTAATTTTTATTTAACTTTTACTATAGATATTATAAAAGTAATTGCTGTTAAATTTAGTTATATTCACAACATATTTTAATGCTTATTAAATTCATTAAATTTTGCTATTTTTGCTGCTGCTGTTCATATTGAGCTCCTCTTTTATATAGAAGTTCTTAGTTTTTCATATCTTTTATTTGAAAGGAATTTCGCACTACGACCTAGTTCTATTGTACCCCCGTTATGGGTTCAGAATATTTGTCCAAAACCTTATAACTATCGTTAAGAAAAAATTAAAACAAATTACAGGATATAAAGATTTTTCTAAAATTTACATGAAACCAATCTATTGTACAAGTATAGTGCTATCTATCCATGATTGAAATTACATATTATAATACATAATAATAATATAGCTAAACATTGGTTAATAATAATTATGAAACTAATTAAGTAATTGTCCTGATGATATAAAATTTATAGATATTAAAATCAAAAAACACTTAATTACAGAAAACTATGAAACAATAATTTAATTTACACACTTGTTTTCTTTTAATTACAATATGTGCTTCAAAAAAGCACTTATTTTTATCTTTTCTAAGAATTCACTATAAAAATAAACTTTCATCATCGTTTATTTGAATTATTTTTAATATTATATATAACATTTGAAGTCAATTATCGATAAAGGTGATTAGATTTGACTTCATATATAAATTTATATCAGTTTTATATTATATATTTAATTAAATACATAAATATATATCGACCTTCAATTTGTAATATTATTAAAGGTGTCTATGAGGGAGCAAGCATATATGTATGTATAAGTGGTTCTAAAATTCATTAAGGAGGCAGACATCATTATTATATTATATTGTACATAAATATTCAGTTAAAGTTACGTATATTTTGAAATGATTTGCGTTATAAGAAAATCTTTTGTAAAATTTTGATCAAAATGTGTTTTTTGACTTTCGGGGATTTTTCACCAATTCACACACAAAATGTCTACGTTTCAGTTAGATCTAGATCTCTAGATTTGATCTAGAATGTATCACTATTAATTATTATAAACATTAGTATGGTGACTTAAAGATATATATAAGAGTTACTATAATATTATCATTTGTTTATGCATATTTTCAAATATATTTAGCTAGAATAATTAAATAATGTTATTATTTTAATAATGTTGTTATATTAATTATTATATTATATTATTATTATAATGTTATTATTATAATATTATTATTATCATATTAATAACAATGTGGATTAATAATATAAATTAGCACAATATTAATTAATAATTAATAATATTAATAAACATAATATTAATTAATTACTAATATTAATTAATAATTAATAATATTAATTAACATACAATATTTCATTATTATTTTTATAATTATTTGAAAAAACAATTGTTTTAAGCGTATTTATGCTTCGAATATTTATACATATATTTTTTATTTAAACAAAATTTTATGACTTTCTTCAACCCATGTCATTAATCCATATATTGTCTGACAGAGATTTTGTGTTAAAATTAAATTTAGTTTTTTAAATTTAAATAAAAAACAACTGTTACAGTGGCAGTTAAAATTAGTAACACAAATATCTTTCCAGCTTAGTTACAGAATTTGTTTCGTTTGTTGCATTTTTGGTTTAAATTTAAAATAACTTTTAACTGAGGTTGGGCCACTTGATGACGTATAAATATTAATGAAGTTTCTGTTATATAAAAAAAGATAATAATTAATTAATTAATTTTTTAATTAATATATATTTTTTTTTATCTTTTTAGCGTAACACATTGAGAATTCTGTTGTTTGTGGGCTTTGTTTGCTGTAGTTTTGTGACCGAAACCGAAGCACATTGCTCACTGGATGATATGAGGAGATATGCCATGGAAGCGTGTGAACATCTGTTTTTATTAGACGAAGGAGCTAGAGATAAACGTTCACTTAAAATAAACGATCATATGAATCTCATTGATGATGAATTGGAATGTAAGTAAAAATTGTTTGATAAATCGATCTTTTAAGTTGTGAAATTATATGGTGAAATGGTAAATAAGATTGGTTAATGGGCACGCGTTTATAAAAGTGATTTACCAAGAAATAAAATTGCTTTTATTTAAAGGTGTTAAATACAATAAATGCTGATTTCACGTATTTACTAAATAAAGCGTGAATTTTCACATTCAACTCAATTCGAGTTGTACTTCAGATAGTTCAATGTTAAAATGTTGTAATAATGTAAATATACGTAAGCCTTGTAGGAGTTCATACACCCGAAATAGTTCATTAAAAATGAAATTAAGATCTTGTAAAAATATTATTTATAAACTTATATGCTATTTTGACACGTGTACTTCATTAATTTAAATTTAAAAAAATAATCATATTATTATTATTGGTTTAGTGATACAGATATATACATCATAGTTTAAGAAAAAAATAAAATATGAAAAAAAAAATCAATATAAATTATATACTTTTATGTTGAAGCTATTTGAGCCAGTGCACTTGAGCACTTTTACTCTTTATTAACTCGAGTTATCTGGATTAATGTTTATCACTTCATCAGACTAAGCAATAATTGACCTTAGATCCAAGGAGCTTGTTACCATTCTGAGATTCGATAACGTGATCATTTATTTAATTTTAATTGTAAAATAATATTTTTCAATTCTTTTTATACATATATCAAATTAAAAATTGTTATTTTATGAAATATTTGATGTTGCATCTAATATATTATAATTATGTATATCAATTATAAATACTCCATACCAAATGTGATATCAAATAGTGTTAAACCTTTATGTGATTTTATTTAATGTTATATCTAATATATTATAATAATATATATCAATTATAAACACTATATATCAGATTTGGTACCAGATATTACTAATCAGTTTTATTGTACCCAATATTTTGTAATTACATACATCAATTATAAATACCAGATTCATAATATGATACCAAATTGTACCAAACCTCTATATAGATTATACAGTATGTTGTCTGTGATAAAATATACAGATATTTAGTTCTGTCAAATTCTTAAGACAACAAATGAGTTCATAATAAACTACTTAACTTTTGCGGAGATAAGGTCCAGAAAGATCTCAATTTAAAAAGCCCTCAATTTTAAGCAGCTTGAAATATAATATGTTACAAGTTGTAAGAAGTATGAATGAAAAAAATAGCATGGTAAAAATATAACGACTAATCGTAACCCTATAGTATGAAATTAGGTGTCCATAAAGCGATGAAGTATGGACAGTGCTTCATTATTGCTTTAGAGAAAGTTTCGGGAAATGATAATTTTCCAACTAGAGCTTAAAACTTTGGTGCAACATTCGCCTTATAGGAAAATTAGTGAAATACATTTTTGAGACTGGACACCAAATCACGAGTAAATTACATGTTTCAATTAACTTAAATATATGTTTCAAATATTGTAATTAAAATAATTTTAAAAATTACTGCAAATCAAATTATCGAATAATTAATATAGATACAACTTTTTTTTTATCCATATGGGTAAAGTATTGTAAAGTACATTACTGTTATAATATATATATATTAAATAAATATAATTAAATAAATATATACATATCGAAATTTATAATAAATTTAAAATATGTATATATATATATATGTATGCACATATATTTCTTATGTATATAATGTATGTATAAGAATATGTATTTACATTTTAATATTTATTTTTTTTTTTACATATTATTGCCAAAATTAATTTTTGTGTTTCAATAGTGTAATTATTGAAAAATATGGGTAAATTATGTAAATTTGTAAAATAAAATAAAATAAATTATTCCTTCTTTCTGTCCGGTTTAAAGGAAATAAGGTCACAAGTCAATCAACTTTAGCAATGTCAAGTTCTTTAATGACTTTTCTTAATAAGGTGCTTTTAACTATTAAGCGCCTTAAAACTATATTAAGTTATATATAAGTTAAATTTTAATAAATTAATTTTACAGCAATTATTGTTAAAAAAAAAGCATTCAATAATATGTATTGTTAATAATTACTTAAGATTTATTAAGCTTTTTTTTTATTATAAAAACAAAAGTTAAATAATAAAAAATAAACAATATGAACTCCAACGTTGCAAGTGCTTAATTCTTAATTAAATTAATTTAATGAAGTTTCGATTTTTCGAATATTAATTTAAAAAAAAAAATCAAACTATGCCGTACCAAGAGAACTTCGATTTATACGTACTCCTTAGTTTCACCATATATAAATAATAATAAATATCAGTAATTTAATATATTTAAATATAAATTAGTTATACACAAATTAATAAATTCTTATTTTTATTTTACAGATCCTAAATACTATTACGATAAAAGGCACTATATCAGTCGCAGTATATATCCAAAAGGTGGTTACCTTAAAGTCGGTCGTGAACATTTCCACAAACTCAGCTTAGCCAATGTAGTTCCCAAATACAAGCCAAAAAAAATTCACGATCGGAATCATCGCTTCAAGCGTGAACATTCGCACAGCTACAACAACATTCCATATTGTTGTTACAACAGATGCGAAGAGGATTTCTTCTGCTAACCCTTAGTTCTATTTAGTTTTCCAATTAAAATCAAAAAATTTTCAATTAATTTATTTAAATTTAATTAGTATTTCAACAAAACTTTTATGTACTTATTTAGTTTAATTTTAATTTAAATTAGTTCAAATTTATATTAAATTGTGTATAATTTATATCGCGAGAGACTTCAGTACCTTAATAGCTTGTAATTATAATTAAATGAATTTTACAATTTATAATTGTATTTATCAGTATTAAAAATTTTATTTAATTAAGTGCAACCATTACATAAATGTAGAAACAATTTTTTTTATATATAAAAAATAATAAATTTTATATGCTGAACATTTATTTGTTTTTATTAATATTTAATGGATTTGAATTAGTGATTAATTATATATTAAGAAAATATTTGGAAAATATAGAGTGGTAGTCTGCATTTCGTCTAAAATTCTTTACAAATGTAGACGATGTAGTATCGTACTAAGTAGGCGGCTCTTCTATTGAACCTCTTATTTTAATCCCTGCTCCTGTCAACCACGGAAAAAAGATGATTCACGAAATTTTTTTGGACAAACAAATAAGAATTCGATTCATATTTTCACAGTAACCAGGTCAAAAACTATGTCGCCCCTGTATACTAAATATATTACTTCTGACTCGGTACATAGGAGTAAATCAGAAATAGTTAGGCCAATTTCTGTTCCTATGGCACACTGGACTGTGGAATGTCGAATCTCCTGCAGTACATGCCCACCAGCGCCATGTTGTGTCTATGTCTAAGCTTGTTCAAAAACAGACTTAAGCCACCCAATTTTTTAAAACAATCGGCAAAATCGTCATTAGTATTCGTCAGTATTGGTACGGCTGATTCTAATATTTATACTTTCTAGCCACAATTACAAGAAATGTGAAATCAAAATTATTATTATTTAAATTATTATTTTTTATCTAGTTGAGGGTTTTTTCTTTCATCTATGGCTTGTCGATTATCGTTGTCGATCTTCTAAATAAAAATTAACAAAATCATTAACATCTCTTTATTAAATACTTAAGTCAGATATTGAAAATATCCTTAATATGAAGTAAATTTTAAGACCACTAATGAGAATTTCAATCTCTTAAATTAGTAATTAAATGCTTATGTATGCATTGATATATAATGTTTTGGATTGTTGCTCGTATTATCTTTCAATGAAAAACAATTGGAAACAAAAATATTTGTAATATTGGATCAATTTTAATTTAATTTAAATCAGTTAAAAATGCGACTCTTTCACTTCAGCGATGCATACAGTTAATGCTCAAATTAGCACAAATATGCATAAACAATAATTACTGTGCACCATGAGAAATGAGAAATACTATAAGTGAAATTTACAATGTCAGCTAATAGCACTAAAAAAAGAAGAATAGTAAAATAATGCAATAAAAAATAAATACTGAAATATAAAGAATTTCTGTAGAAAATATTTGTGTGATAAAATATAAATAAAATGAAAATATTTGCGGATAAATTACCTATGACCCCATTTACCTCAGTATGAACACCATGTTGTTGCTAACTGCATTTTTCTTATTTTTAATAATAATATTAAAATTATCTACTTATATCATTCGGATATTTTTTATTGCATTTTTAAACTAAAACTTATATAACCTCGAACTTTCTTTAATTTCATTATTCATAGTTGACTATTATATGCTACTATCATTTAATTTCAAATAATATTTACAATATTAAATGGAAGCAATAAAACAATTACTAAATTAAGAAATAATACTATTATATGTAATTGTTTAAAAATGTGACTAGTTATGCTTTTATTTATGTTCTTTTGTAGCATTTTTTATAATGCTAAGAAAGTAAGTTGTAAATCTATAATCCGTACAAAATCCATATAAAATCCATATAGGTATAAATATGCCATAAAGATTCGTTATTTCGGATTGTATAATACAACAGCGAATTTCATTGATTTCTATATTTTTATGAATATTTAGGTTTCTAATCAATTTTTTACAAACGTGCAGTTGATGTTAAAAATAGTATTACTTTGTCTCTCTATGTGTCTCTCAAGAAATGATAAATGTTTACTAAACATGGGTCACGAGTTGTACTAATGTCGTTAGAAATTGTAAATCAGATGAATTGATCACATACGTCACACTAATAACTTCATTTTATATCGACAGAGATGCGAATTAGTTTTACAAACCAAATTTTACTTGTCATATTCCCAGATAACTCTTGCCGATTACTTTTTACTCTATTTAAATAAGTAGTAGTATGAAGCTAATATACAAAAGAATAGATAGTTTAGTAGAGATTTTTATAGAAGTTGTGGAATTATACACGCAAAATAATATGCATCAACCACATACTAGTTAAATTGACCTATTCAATTTTATTAGAAAAATTTTATCTCAAGTGGTAAAGAAGAAAGAAAAACCAACATATATGGTATGGTTAAAACAACATGATGCGTCGAGTAAGAATATTTTATCCAGAGATTTATGGTTAAGTTAACTCAAATTGAGTTAATTTTTCTGAGTGTATTTATGTTATGAAGTAATGTTTTCATTATTGACTGACACTTTCTATTGCTGCACAGGAAAATAGCAGAGAATACCAGCCCTTACTGACTTTTCCAAGTATCAGCCGTCTTGATAATGAAGACGTGAAGAAATTATTAAAGCAATCATTATGTCATTAACCAGATCTGTTCAGAAAAGGTATAACTTTTTAATCAGATTTTTACTTTGAAGAACTAGTATAGTTGGCGGCAACTGACTTGATAAAACTAATAAGATTTAGTAACAAAATAGATCTCGAATATATGTTTATTTAAGATATATTTGAGAAAGTTATGTGAATTAAAAAAATTATAAAAAATAAAATATCTTCTTAGTACGAACATATTATAACTTATTAATAATAGTTATGTACAGTACATTTCCCCAAAAAGTCTAAAAAATCTTTTGTAATTCAACAGAATTTAATTAAATGTTTTAAACTTTTAAGAAAAAAAATTTTTCATTTGCTTATTTAATTTTTATTTACTACCATATTTTGTTTTTTTTTTGTTTAAACCCTATTAAGTGTGCCTAAATGTATGCAATAAGAATAATTTGCAAAATATTTTGTTTTGTGCTGTACATTTTTGAAATGGTATGGAATTAAAATTTTAAATGGGAAGACACTTAATTTTTAAAACAAATTGTTAGTAATTAATAAGTTATATTTTTAAAATAATGTATAATACAGATTTTTGCATAATAACATATATATATAAATTTTTTCTATTGCCTTCAACTCTCTAAAAGTTATTGAGCAATCAAAATTCCTAGAATTCTAGTTTTATACTCCTAAGAGTTTATACTTCATAAAATTATTTTACTATTCTGCCAAATGATATCCAGAAGATCTATTTGTATAATACACCCAATCTTTTTTTTTACACGGTAGATACGTTCCTCAGAAATCCGTGTAAAAAAAACCGTGTAAAAAACAATGCCAAGTGTCAAACAAGACAGTGATTTTGAGACCTTACTAGATTAAAAATTTTTTACAAAAAAAATTTTTTTTTCAACCGTGTAACTTTAAATCCGTGTAAAAAGAAACCGTGTAAAAAAAGAGTTGGGTGTATTATAAATAAATTCAAGGCTTTTTCTTTGCAATTATTGTTATTATTAATTTTTTAAAGAATGTTATACACAACGACTCAGGTGATCTATTCTCAGAATCCTAGTTGTTTTATTCGATTTGTAATGAACACGAGCACCTTTAATGGATTTTTATGTTCCATATATCATAAGAAGCAACACGTTTGCCGCCCAGATGGATAAGATTGATACTGCTCAGTTTAAAGCATTTGGAAATAATGTGTTTAAAAGTTATATCTATTTCACTCTTAAAGTCACATTTTGTTGAGATGATACATAGGGTTACAATGCTTTAACAAAAATTCGTTGAGTTTTGAAATGTTTGTTTGAACAATGTTATGAATTTATTTGAAAGTTTTAGGTATTCACATTTTACGTACAAGTTGTTATATTTAATTTCTTCTATGTGCCATCTCGCTAAAGTAGAGAATGATTCCGATGAAGTTAATTAAAGTTTGGCTCTTCTTATGGTGAAACAGTGAGATCTTTGTTGCCATCATAACCTAGGACCTATCATAAGATATATTAATAATAATAAGGTCACTGTGCTCTAACAAGCACTTTAACTACATCCATAACAGTCGGAGAATTTCATACATCTCTCAATGCGACTTGATTTAGTACATAACAACTTTTGTCGTGGTTATGGTTCTGCAGAGAAAATGGAAGCTGTTTTCAACACCCAATGTGTCTGCCCCGATTTTTGGTTATTAGAAAATTAAAAAGTTTTGGAGGAACGTTCCTTACCGACATGACAGAGTTGTTAACTTTCAAATTTAGTGGATATGGTTTAATTGAAAAATTTTCAAGTAATCTGTGAAACGGTTTTAGCTTACAGTCCTAATAAAATTAAATACAACTACAATTTCAATAAAGTATTATAATAAAATGTAAATATATAATAGACGGTTTCTAAGAAAGCAACCTATTCGCAATTGGTCAAAATACGCTTTTTATTATGAAAATAGATTGCAATTATGATTAAAAAGAATTGCAAATTGTTTTCTCATAAATACTTAATTTCTAAGAAAAATTTAATCTAATTTGGCAGGATCAAAAATTTAAGCTTAACACTTGCAGTTCAATAATTATATGCGGACTAATAATAACAACATAAATAAACAAATATTCTAAATCTCTAATAGATATTTGACAATTCTCGAAATAGTTCGGAATAACACGATCAAAAAATTTTAATTACTTAAAAATAAAAATTTTTAGTTATCATATTTAACTGTCTGACTCTTTCAATTTTTAAAAAATTCTCTTTATTATTAACCTATCTATTATTAATCTATTATTTATCAAAACCTATATTTTAAACCTTGACATTAGAATTTTATATCTATAATACTTTATTATAATAATAAAAAAAAATGTTTTTTTATTAGCAAAGAAAATTTTTAGTAAAACCCCTATTTTAAGTCTTTATAATAACATGTTCTTATCCATACGTATCTAATTTATCTAGTAAACGTATCATGTTTCATATAAAAAAATTGTATCTTTCATTAAAATTCATTTGTATTTAATTAGTTAATTTAATAAGAAACGATTGCGTACGTTACTCGCATGTCAAGTGACTCAGTTCTTGAATTTAAATAATTAGAAAAAAATTGCAAATATATAAATATTTATATATATATATAATGACTATAATCATTTCTGATTCTAAATCGAAATGATTTAATTATTAATTTATAATTATTTGACAATAAAAATTTCTATTCAGGTGTTCCAAGCTACACCACGTCCGGCAGACAGTTCAATTTCCATGTAAAAATGGTGCACGAATTCAATTATAAACAAAGACCATTTAAAATTCATCAAATATATATACTTTTTATAACTCATATAAACAAAATGTAAAAGCATAAACAATTGTGACGTCACGAAACTATTAAATTTTATTAAAAACAAATTTCTGATAAATGTGGGACACTCTCAGAGAGTCCCTCAGAGAGGAAACTATTAAAATTGTTTTGATTTATTTTTTTTAATTTGTTTACCAAACAAATTAATAATGATATAAACATAAATAAACCCAAAACGTACTTATAACTGATATATCGTAACCGGCTTAAAATTTGTGAGTTCAACTCCACAAAAAACCCAAACTCATTTTCAGATACAATTACGCTTACAACTTCAACATATTTCGGTTTTTAATATTTTTTATTAATTTTTTTTTGTCTTGAGATTTTTTATTGTTTATTCGGAATTTCTTTCTTCAATTTGGGCATTTAATGGGCTCGTGCCAATTTGCGCACAACACAGACAAAAAAATAAATGAATTAAGAAAAGCATCTTTTTTGTTTTCAGTAATCTTTACAAAGAAAGATACATTTTGTGTCTCCACAAATTTTGTGTCTTACACAGATACTTATATATGTACATTAAATAAAAAATAATAAAGAAAAAAGTGTTAATTCTGCTTAAAATACGTAAATGAGACAGATTTCATCACAATTTTCTATGACTAATTTAAATGATTTCTTCTCACATTCGAGTAATACCAGAGCAGTCTCAGCATTGGAGTTTGGGATTTTCCCGACGGATGAAGTTAATTAAATTCGATTTAGTATTTTCCAAATGAAAAGTTTTCATTTACAACTACTGTTAACAACTGCGTAATCCCATCTATTAAAGCAGTTTGAACAGATAGAAGATAGAAAATCATCTATGGGAAAACACTTTGCTTTGTTGTGAATTAACTCATAATTTATGAGCACGCGAACTCGTGATTACTCATGCAGAATTTATTAAAAAAAAGCAGTGTTTCCCAAATATTAAATAAATTTGACAAAAATATATCTTAAATTCAAATCCACGGAGATATATATTTCTAAAGCGTGACTGCGCTGTAAAACCAATTCAATATGGTTTCAGGAAGGTAAGATTACGGTACGTAATAAGGTCATTTATCATCGATACACTTGACCTTATTACAGCTAAACTGCGATTAAATAGCGAGGTATCTCAATACGAAGCAATAAGCTTCGAATGGATATCACATTTAGTACAGGCAGTACACTCAGAAAAATAATTTAGTCGATTTAACCAGATTTTAACTAAAACTCGAGATAAAATATTCTTACTCGATGCATCATGTTAATTCCAAATCACCACATGTTGGATTTTATAACTTATTCACCATATGAACTAAAATTTCTCCTTAGTTGTCCATGAGAGTGAAACTACTACCTTTATTTGAAAGCATTGACAAGATAATGTTAGGATATCAAAATATTCTTACTCGGCGCCTCATGTTGGTTCAAAATTAACACATGTCTGATTTTATAGCTTCTTCACCATATGAGCTAAAATTTCTTTCAGTTGTCCAGGAGAGAGAAACTACTACCTTTATCTAAAAGTATAGACAAGATACTTTATATACTTTACTTTATTATATTTAAAGAATTACATCTTTAGTACAAAATCTAGTATCGAGTTTAGTCAGGTAACCAATAGAACGATGGTATTATCTTTACCTGATACCGTTAACAAAGTACTTTTGAGATTGACGTTTTTTAGATTGATTAATTCATCTATCATATTTGAATGAATAAATTTTACATACATTAAAACCGCCAGGCTGCTTCATATTTAAACAAAACTTGACTGAGCGAACTTATTAATTCTTATCCGGCACTATATCTACTGAAGAAGCCCAAAATTGTAGAAGGGTGATAATTAGGAAAGAAGAAGTCACTAGAGATATCAGCTTTAATTTGAAAGAATGGTTTATAAATTATTTGTGACATGTTCAAATACCACTTGTCGGCAGATTACTAAAAGCTAATAGCATTCACTAATCACCTATATGATAATATTAGCAATAACATGGAAGAATGTTAGATAAATTACGGCCATAGGCTGGCAGATGATTTTCAACGAATACTATAGATTAATCGCCTATATTATAGCTTCAGCTTAAATATGGAAAAATGTTAGACTTATGATGGCTACAAGTCCAAATGATTAACCGACTCCACGGCAGACAGATATAAGTCAATACTATTAATTAATCATCCATATTGCACCATCAGCTGTAATAAGTAAGAACGTCAAACATATTATGGTCACAACTCAAAATTATTACCAAATTTGTCGACAGGAGACTATATTATACAATGAGCTGTAATATTGAAGAATTTAGAAAGTTTAGTTGGTACAAGTTTAATTGGATAATTTACTCGTCAGGAGGTGGTTATATTATAACATCCGTCACAAAATTGTAATACGTCAGCTAATCTACGGCCATATGTCCAGTTGATCTGCCTTAACTAATACCATAATCCAACCACCCGTGTATTTTACTACATTAATTTTCATTTTCACCTTCCTATTTCGAGAATCATCCTGATTATGTAAATAATTTCGGGCAGTATTCCCAAATCGGGCTATCAAAAGTTAATAAGTTATTTGCAAAACAACAATCCTTATATTATATATAAAATCTATTAACTTGTTAGAGGAATACAGTGAAACAGCAAATGGTTTAGCTCTTCTCTTTGTCTTCGTTATCGCAGCTCAAATAAAAATCTGAAACTGTGCTAAAGACTACTTTTACTTCAAATTTTACAGATAACTTTACTCATTGTGTTACTTCAACGGAGATGAGGCAAATATTCCTCTATCGTAAAAAACGACTAAAACCCAGAAGGAACTATTCAATGCTGTTTGAAGTATATAAGTCTGATAACACGATGGTTACGTTCCATTGCTTTTGCTGTTCTGACCAATTAAGGTTGGCTCCTTTGAAGGGTGTATCGTGGTAGCTGTGGTTAAAATTCAAAGTTATAATGTATATAATCAAAGTAATGTATAACAGCAAAGTTATATGGGTATTATGTCCAAAGAACAGCAGAGATTTCAGATAGGCCTGAATTCCTCCTAATCAGGAAACTTTATCCAAACGTTTAGCTCCAAATCATTTTTGAAAAGGTGAAAAAATCTTAGCAACGTATAATTGGAATAGAACTGAACTCTAGTACTTTGAACCAGAAAATATAGACAAATATATTGCTATACAATATATATTGGATTCGATTATGAATGCCACAACTTTTAATATTTTAAGGATTTTATTTTGTGTATTGTAATCAATTCTACTTCAAGACAAACCGTAGCTTTCCTAATAGGAACAACTTTTGTCTGAAATGAATTAACATTTCAAGACCTTAACTTTAGGTTTATTTCAGTAAATTTGTGCTAATAACAGAGGCGGCTTACATGAAAAATAGTTGGCTTTATGCAGAAAATTTCCTCTTAAACTCATTGCTTACTTGAAGTAAATGTTTGGTGGCCGCTGTTTTGGCGTGTGGTTTTAACATGAAAGAGAAGAAACCAATTTGCGCTGTTGAGAGAGCACTTTCCCATACGAATGCAGAGAATTCAGTGAGCATCAAAGCCTGTTCATTGTGTTTCTGCTTTCAAAGCATTCTGATTGTATTTCTTGGTAGAAAGTTTCTAACTTGGATTCAGTCTGATTTAGTTTTTGCTGTGATCAAGACGCGTCGCGCCGCAATAAAAAGAAATTTGACCACAACAAAGAAATTTAATTATTCCAAAAAAAAAAATAAAAAAGTGCACATAAATCCCCAGAGTAGTTAGTGCAAAATATTGATATAATAATATATATAATCTTGCAATTTATATATAATTTATATATATAAAAAAAATTTAATTCGAATTAAAAACAAATAAAATAATGTCTAATCATCTAAATACATCTCAAATGGATCAAAGTGCAGTAAGTTTCATTTAAATTCATAAATTCAAAGCATTTATCACAATTTATATAATTTACTGTGAAACACTGTAGAACTTCAATAAAAGTATTTATAAATATTTATATATATATATATGTATGTATATATAAGCATGAAGTCATTATACAAATGATTAATGAATCCCATACTAAAAAAACCAGTGCAGAAATTAAGCTTAAGTGAAATGTTTTATTTAATAAAAAATGTTTGTTTTTATTATTTTAAGGGAGCTATTGTTTATTTTACAAATAATATAACAACATAGTGAATTCTTTTATTATTTTTAGCTTTTGAGGTCAGAATGTCTGTAGACTTCCTGTGCACTATTTTATCGCGGTTGTTATGGTATTTCATTCGTTTTGTTTATAAAATAATGCGATATTCTGTTTATTTATAAGGTGATTATTACTTGGAATATCCTTTTTCAATTTTTTTTCTTTTTTAATAATAATAATAGAATATGACATCCTTTAAAATAAACAATCCCCTCTAACTTTTTACTATCATAACATTAAGAAGTAGAATATTCTTCTTCTTAACATTGTTGTGTTAATGTAATTTATAACATATTTTTTATAACAGTTTCAGTATTGAAAACCCATTTCTAGTTTTGGTTAAATATATGCTCCTTAACACTGTTAAGTGTTAATATAATTTATAACATATTTTTTATAACAGCTTTAGTACTGAAATCCCATTTCTAATTTTGGTTAAATAAGTGTCCCTTAACACTGTTAAATGTTAATGTAATTTATAACCACCACTGTATGAGAACTGCGAACACTGTTAACTGCTCTTATACGAGTGTAAGTAAAAATATAACCAACAATAATTAACTGTATCTTTTACACTTTACAACACAACAAGTGTTGTTATTTGTAGTTCGAAAAGTAATTTTTTTCAATCAATGCCGGGTTTATTTATTTTATTTTCATCATATTTACATAAACTTACTTCACATTTTTTGTACAGTCAACCAACAATATATACATATAAAAATATACATATAAATATTAATTACTTGTTTTTGCTTGTACAAGCAGGATATATTTATATATATCATCTATACGTATATATAAAAATACATATAATTTTGAATTTATCGATATATGACTAAAACCACTCTATATTCCTTATTTATAATCGACGCCAATACCGGTCTGATTTCATTACATACGGCAATTATCTTTCCTCTACCTTTCCTAGTAAAAAAAACCTGTTCATTTAGAAATAAAATTTTTTGAACATAACCGTTTTGATTCCATCAGTTTTACATTGAAATGTTTAAGAAAGCAACTTCATGTTATTGTAAGAGGTTATTTTTATATGTTAGTTTGTTGTTGTCATAAGCAAGCACTCGTAAATTTTTTTGTGTAGTTTTAAATTTTTGACAAGAGATTTGAAGACATGTTTGAGTTAATGTGTTGAATGTTATGATAAATGTTAACTAACATTTATAAAGCTCTTTAGTCGAAACGAAGCGAATTTTATGTTATAACAGCCTCAGGGCGATAGAACTCGTTAGAGTGTTGAATAAGAATGCAAATAATAATTGTGTGTAATGTCTTCAAATCACGATTACTATTTCAAAAAGATTAATATATTTTAAATTAATATGAATTTATTCAATTTTATATATATATATATATTGAAAACTGCTGCTTTTATGTCTGTTTTATATAAATATTAATATATGAATAAATTTTAAACATTGGACACGACTTCAAAAAACAACTAATTAAATCACTACAATAAAAATAGTATATAAAATAATATAAAATAAATAAAATAAACTCCATATATATTATATTATTTTATATATTACAATAAAAATTATATATAAAACAATATATAAATAAAATAAACTGTATTTGTATTATATTATTTTTATTGTAATGATTTGGTTTAAAAAATGTTTTAAAAATATCTCATTAGAATATATTAACTGCAGAGTAAACATTTTTATTCTTAAAAATAATAAAATTGGTGGATTGAAATCTCAGTATGTGTGGATAAACAGTTTTACATAACCAATAATATGACTAATATTACCAATACCCACTCATGGGGTCTCTTCAGCTAAAAGTTCAATGAACATATTCACACAGAATGATTTGCGGATTCTGTATTTCTTCAGTTTACTTTTTTAAGAAAATTATGTTTGAAAAAAACTTATCTCATGACACATTTTTCAAATGTAAATTTAAAACATAACAAAAATAAATAAAAAAATAAGTTAAGCATCTCAAAAATGGACAAACAAAAATCTATAAAATTTGTCAAAAAAAAATTAATTATGTTAAGTTTGTTTATTTTAATATGTAAACAAATATATGTCTATTAAAATATACATATAAATAATATATACATTTAAAGTGTAGAAAATTTTTGATTGTTTATGTTTTAAAATTTTTGAAACCTATAACAAATATAATACATGCTTATTTAAGTTAATTTATATTTAATTTATTCCCTTATTATTACATAAAATATTTTTAACTAGGTATATACTTGTAGTTTAATTTAACGTAATGTATTTTTATAATATTTTATTTATTTATTTATGAAATAAAATACGCTGCATAGTATGTCTGTTATAGTTCTCGGATAATTTTTAGAATTTATTACTATTTATTATTTTGATGTTAACTTCAATGAACGTGCCGTATTAAGCTCGTATGTTTTAAATTTGGTTATATTTTGTAGCTACATATTCATATATATTATAATTTATAATATTTAATTTTAATTTATTATTGTTAAAATATGAGACCAACGAACATGCTCCTTTTTCCGAACAGAGTCACAACTAGTGGATTCATGTGATTACTCAATCTTTTAAGATATTCAGAAATATATTCTACAAAGTCATCTTTAATGTATAATTTACTCAATTATAATATTAGTAAAGATGAAATGAAGTAGAAAGAACTTTTTCGATATTATGAAATGCCATCATATTCATAATTTATAAAATTCTCATTGTTTATCGAAGAATATAGCAGAGTAATATTTGTCTCATTATAGGTTCTCGAAAAAGTTAATTTAAATTAAATTAAATCAATGTTAAATTTATTATATAAATATTTAAAAAAATGTATGAAAATGTTATTCTTTCCAAAAATAATAAAAGCATAAAAAAATGTTTACATTTTGACTATTGATAGAATATCACTGAGATTTTTTTACTAGTGATATTTTAAAATTGAATTTTTTTACAATTGTTTGTATGCCAATACTTCGTTAAATGCCCTTATATACCCGTAAAATGTTACAAATTTATTTTTGTTTATATATTCTATTAACACTTATTGATCTAAATATTTATATATATACAAATTTAGAAATAAATATTTCTAATCGTACATATCTGACATCATCTTCAAGCAGTCATGAATTATCTAAAATAAAAAAAGATTTTTCATTATTTTTTTGTATTTGTGATTTATTGTTAAAAATTATTGAATTAACATTTCTCTTAATTTTAAAACAAATAAAGAAACGTTAAAATTGTCCAATATACTTATATATTGTTATATATTTTATTGTCTCGCAATGGGACTTATCTGCCTACGCCATATCGTTATACCACATATTTCAATATGGTAAATAAGTAATAAGAATATAAAATGTTTACATACTAAATTAGATCAATTAGAGCATTCGTACAAGTAAAAGAAACTAAATAAAAAATTTAAAAATAAATTTTATCTTGATCAAAATTATTTAGAATTAAAATAAAAAAATTTGTATTTGTCAGAAAGTAGAGAAGCATTAAATTTTATAGTTCGACTGAATTTTAAAATTCTCTTTAATTAACATTTTTTGTGAATTCTCATGAAAGCAACAACGTCATTATATTTTTACTTAATTATACAATATTAATTAAACAATTAAGTTGCACTTTTGATCTGGGTTATTTGCCGGTTTTTTTAAATTTCCTCTCATTCGCGTATTTTTCTGTACTAAAATGGCTTTAGCTTGCGAATTAGGACAGTTCAACACGGTTGCATTGCAATCGTTTGTAAAGACAAATGTACGGAAATTAGTAGCAATTATTCTGGCGTAAAGCAAGATCACAGATATATGTCAATTTATTCACTTGAATTTTTTATTCACACTTATAAAGTAAAAACCCAACCCACGCTGTAACTGTCAGAATTTATCATAAATTATTGTATTTATGGTTAAATTGAAGATTATGGTTGATAAGAGAATCGGAGATAACTAACAAAAATTAAATAAGTATGGTTTATATATTTGTATGAGATCACACAGTTTATACTATGTTTACATTTATAATTATCGAACCTCATAAGGGAATTTTCGTATGAATTTTGTGTTTAAAATGTCTCTAATAATTGCAAACACAAATATATTTGTTAATGTAATTGTAATGCTATGATGTAAACATGGTTTTAAGAGGCAAAATTTAATTTAAGTTTAATTTAATTTAATTAATATTAAAACGTATTAATAGAAATTTTTTTCTTATGTTAAATAGTTTACTTATAATCAATTTTTTGTATGCAATAAGTGAATTATTTTTTTGAAACAATAGAATTTCAAAGAAACTATTTAATACCAATCATAGATTTAATTAAATTCCTACAATTTCATTTGATTTCTTTATGGTATAATGGAAAAGTGTTACGACCTTAATCTTCTTTTCTATTATTCAATTCCGCCGAGTGGGTTTACTGAAATTAAAACAACGTGATTACTCAGTTCTAAAGTGATATTTTGTAGACGAACTACTAACTTCCTCAAGCGCAAGCAAAATCAAAATCTTAATACTTTAATGTATAGCCCTTTACTTTTTTATTCATGCTATATTATGAGTTCCTCAAACATATGTTTTGTTTTAACTTCCTCAAACATAGTCAAAATCTTTATATCTCTATGTATATTCTTATATAGAGATATTTTATGTAAGAGTATAGTAAATTCTTTCTGATCATGTATGATAACTTCGATATAA